TTCAGACACAGACTGCTTCAAAACATGGTGGTTCTACATAGTTATAATCACGGGTCATTTCCTGCAGGAGCGCACAGGAGCGGAGTTCCAGCAGTAAAGAGCCCAGGGGGCGGGCACATGCAACAAGCCCCACCCCCTGCTCCCAGCAGCCCTCAGTCAGAGCAAGAAGCAGCCAGGTAAGCTGCAGAGACCCCCCCCCCGGTCCAAAACAGTCCAGTGGCACCTTTAAGACCAAGTCTTATTCAGATACAAGCTTTCCCTCCTCTGCAAGGACAGATCTGCACGTCCCCCCGTCCCCCCCCCCCATACCTAGCAATCCAAAACAGTCCAGTGGAGCCTGAGCCTTCTGACACACTTCCAGTGATGTCAGGGAGTGTGGCATATGCAAATAAGTTATGCTAATGAGCTCCTGCACCTCTTTTTCTACAAAATGACCCCTGGCTATAATGGCTAATAGTGGCTGATGAACTTCTTGTGAATTTATTGAACTTTTTTTTACTCCCCCCCCCCCAATGCCTGGCAACCCTAACTGGGGGGAAAAGGAGTGAGAAAGAATAAAACCAACACTGTGGTGGCAACTGCTGCTTAAACACCCATTATTTTAATCTGTATAGCCAGTTAGATCCCCAGTGGCTATTCTAGGGTTGCCAGCCTTCAGGTGGGGCCTGGGGATCTCCCGCTTTTACAACTGATCTCCAGCTGACAGAGATCAGCCCCCCTGGAGAAAATGGCTGCTTTGAAGGGTGGGCTCCAGGGCATTGTAACCATGCTGAGGCCCCTCCCCAAACCCCGCCCTCTCCTGGATCCACCCCCAAAGTCTCCAGGTATATTCCAACCCAGAGCTGGCAACCCTAGGCTATTCAGAAGTCCTGCTGGAGCAGAGCCTCACCCGCTTTCTAAAAACACTTGGTGGGGGACCAGGAAAGGTGTCAGTGGGGCACCATATTGGGAATCCCTGACCAAGAATCACTAGGCCCTAAACAAAATGGCATCTGTTGCCTGACTTAGCTTTGGAGGTGTTCAACATAGCAATTGCTTTTTTGTTGTTGTACAATACTACCAACAGGTAGTGTGCAAATATCCTCTCTGGCCAATTAACTCCAATTCAGTTTCCTTAGAAAATGTGTATGCCACTTCTTCGCAGACTTGCTTATGCAAAGTCGATATTTCAGTGGGCTGGTAAGTCCATTTTTCAAGGGTGGGGGGAATTGAATCACACGTTTAACTTCCATTTTGAAACAATTTTTTTTTTACTTGGGCTGAATTCTGCCCTCAGGATGCACATCAGTGGCCCAAATCCCACATTCCCCTCCACAAGATTGGTCTTGCATTAACACAGTTGGTGTATATTGACGAAACAACAAACCAAGAAGTCCTTCTCTCCCACCTTTCCCCCTTCTCAGGGTGATATTGTTGACCTCCTGTACAGGGCTGTTGTAACCGTTACACCAAACTACATGTGACCATCAGGTCAACCATGAAGATTTTCAGTCGGGTACTATTTTGGGACTTCCTTGCCGGGAACGGCCAAAACAGCATCTGACTGAAAATCCTTGTGGGCAACTTGGAGGTGACCACAAGTAGTTTGGCCTTAAAATGTAGTCTGCAAGCAATCTTATATTTGTGTTTCTAAACACAAACCCTCTATTGAGGTAGAGCAAGATGGGTAGCCGTATTAGTCTGCCTGTAGCAGCAGAAATGAAAGAGTCCAGTAGCACCTTAAAGACTAACAAAATTTGTGGCAGGGGGTGCATTTTCATGAGGGGCGTGCAAGGAGGAAAGACTCATGAAAGCTCATATATTGTCACAGACTGTGTTAGTCTTTAAGGTGCTACTGGACTCAAACTCTTTTCTACCTCTATTGAGGGAGAGGTTCTGGCAAAAACATGTGGGCCCTTTGCTTGCTTCCACGTGGGCCTAGCTTTGCCAGGCATCCAGGTTTTCAACTTTAGGCTCGCCGGTGGAAGGTGCAAAAGAACAGGGGAGACCGTGCAGTTTGTTAAGCCCCCTCCTTTAAACTATGGTGCTGCTTGAGGCTTTAAAATGCTATTTTGCAATCAGCTTTATGCTGAGGTCTTCTCTGCTGCTAAGAAACTAGGGGAGACAAGGGGGAGTGGAAAGGCTAGAGTTCATAACAGGATCAGATCTATTTATACGCTTGACCTCGGCAAGGGGAAATCCATGGAAACAAGAAGGCACCAGGCAGTCCCTACCACAGTGCTGTCACCATGGCCACAAAGCCTATCGGAGGATTACGGACAGTGAGACACAAATGCAGTGCGGTAGCCAGCCAGCCAGCCTCCGCACAGTATTGGTTGTTCCAGAAGGTTCCCTGGCCTTTGTTCAATTGCCGTCCAGACACAATAGCTTTGAAAGAGGAATTTGAGAGTACGTGTGTGAGAGAGAGCTTTAGTAGTGGGCAGGTTCTCAACTTTATCATAAGTTTTAAAAAAAAAAACTGTCCAATCCTTCTGCCTCACAAGCCAAACAGAATGTGTTGTGTTCTTGGTTCAGGTACAACCTGTCTCTCCTCCCCTTCAAAACCCACCTTTTCAGTGAAGACTTTGGCTTTCAACCCTTTCCTTCTAACCCTCCCCAATCGAAATCACCCTGAATATGGGCAACAGCATTCAATTTGTCAGTCCCATGCCCTTACCCTCTCTCTCCTGTTGCCGCCCTGCCCCCACCTTCCATTGATTAAATTTAGATTTTCACCCCTTTGGGACACCCCCCCCCCCATTTATGTAAAGCACTGTGCACAGCAACTACAATCTCATGTGCTTTGGGAGATACAAAAACATGTTTGTTGTACCCAGAAATGAGAGCTCTACTGAACGAGTTTCAATCTTTTCTGGCTAAGAAAAAACACCACTGCAGTTCTGGAAGACATACACTGAAGGAGGAAAGTGGATTGTTCAGTTTTTGGAGTGAAAGAAGTACACATCTGGGGAGGATTCTGTCCTCAAGGAGACCAAGCTATTGAGGAGGCTGAAAGCCAAAAGACCCTCCAAAGGAGCTGTTCTCTGTACCAAGTAATCTGGGCCATTAAAAAAAATCACTCTCTTGGCAAAAACAGCCCTTGTCAAAAATCATCATCATCTTTCTCCATTTGTCATGCCAGAGTGGCCTCGTGTACCCCCTTGGGAAAGCAAAGCGGCAGGCTCCTCTCTTTGTGAATCACCCTCTGCAAGGACAGATGGGCAGGAAGAAAGACGCCTGCCAAGGGACAATTGCAACAGCTTGTTAGTTTAACGAGTCACTATTTATTCTTCCCCTAAAGATGCTTAAACAAAGTATTATGTGCTAAACCAGATACCCAATTGGCCAGGCCACACCGGCGATGCTGGAAAAAAAAATCATGCACGTGGGCGGGCCGGCCAGGTCGCTGAGAACTCCGGATCTCTTGAACAGTATCAACACAGAATATTATCGGCCACCGGGCTAGATATGAACCGGTTCACTGAACAGATCCAGCAAGCTGTTAGAAGGATCGGACTGATGCAGCCCAACCAAACTGCAGCGCAATTCAACTTACCTTTTGCCTCATCTCTCAGAGCAATCTTGAGAAAACCAGTTTACAAATTCTGCAGAAAAGGTGTTAAATCTTTTTTTGGACTGCTACCAATGAGGGCCTGCGGGTCTTCATGTTCCCCCATGGGGCATAATAAAAAGGAAGGCATGCTACAGTCACCATAGGGGACATCCCACCCCCCCACCCCCGGGCAAGCACATCGTGCCAGTTCTGTGGCGGTAGCACCAACATCCACGTAACAGTTAATACTTCAATAGGGGTAACCATGTTCTATCAGGTCTACCAGTAGCTACTACTAGCCATGGTTGACTAAAGGGAAATTCCATGTTCAGAGGCAAACAGCCTCTGAATCCCAGTGCCAGGAGAGAACACCAGGGGAAGGCCTTGAGCTCTATGCACTGTTGCTGGCCCTCCAGAGGAACTGCCTGGCCCCTGTGTGAGACAGGATGCTGGACTAAATGGATCGCTGGACTGAGTCGGTAAGGCCCTTCTTAACTTCTTATGTGTTAGTATGTGTTGGGTGTTACAAGTCAAAACACTTCAGTATTTACAGGGTTAATGATGTTAAGTCACATGTTTGTTTGTAACCAATCTGTTTGTGCAACAGAATGCCCGGGAACTTTGGGGCTAATTTGCTAGTCTGGTTGGAAACCAAGGTGTCAAGTATTTAGCATATTGATTTCTCCTCCCGTTCTTTGTTCTGACTAGAGAGGGAGACGCCATTCAGCTCTTCCCGTTTTCCCTTTTAGCTGCAAGGTTGTAGACGTATTAGCTCTTTGTTATTTTATATCCTGTGTACCTTTTTCCCATGTTAGGTTTATAGTAAACTTTTATATTTTAAAACACACCATGGACTCAGTCTCTTAATACTCTGCTGACTTACTTAAAAAGAATCCCAACAGTATGTAGCAACAAAATTAAACAGAAGTCCAGTGGCACTTTAAAGACTAACAAAATGTATTGCAGCATAAGCTTTTGTGAGTCAGAGACCGTCTTTAAAGTGCCGCTGAACGTTTAATTTCATCCAAGAGTCTGTTCCCTCACCATTCCCTCTCCTTGGCCAACACAGGCCCTTTAACTGTCAACCAATGTGGCTATGTTACCATTTTAAGACCCTAAAGATACCCCCTACTCACAGCATTTCAATGAAGGTAGCCCAAATGCACCCACTGAAATGAAAGAGGAAACTCCGAAGCTTTGGAGCTTCAAAACCTGAGCCAAGGAGCAGAGAGCAACCGTCTGTTCATCGCACAATCGAGCCGCTCGGCAACCTCGGTCACACCACACCCACTGAAAGTGTTACACAACAACACTCCTTTCGGCTGTTAGGATTTCTCAACCATCGATTAACTCATCCCTTTGAAATGCACGCCCACCACATTACTATTATCATCGGCAAACGGCAGCTAACAGATGCTGATGAATTTATTGCTTTTTCTTCCTATACAGATTTCAGTAGCATGGGGGGGGGTCCTGCAGAGGGGGAGCAAGCATGGGGGGCCACCCAAACCTTAATATCGACACACTGGAGGAGAGGCATGGGGATTTGCTATTAAGTGAAGGTGCACCCAATGTTCTCACTCACTCAACAGCCACCCAGTTTAGGTGGCCCAGTTAACAGCAATACACACTCTTCTCTACACAATGCTGTTCGGGTGTGTGTGTGTGGGGGGGACAACAAGTCCTTTCCAATGGATGTCCTTCCTTGTCACGTCAGGATCCGCTGCCTGTTGGTGTCTCGCAACCGAGCACCCACAGTCCCGGTTTGGTGCTTTTCCATCACCTGGAGAACGTCGTCCAAAATGGATGGTCCCAAGTCCACGTGCAGGGAGAGCATGGAGCCAGCGTTGGACATAAAAGGCTCCCCTTTCTTTTCTTCCTCGACAAAGCCATTCAGAGCGGCCACGCACTCGCCGTTGGGGGCACGACGGGTCTCCGCAGTTCGTGTACCGTTGGCAGCATTCTCTGCAGGGTCCTTGGGCGGGTGAGCTGGCTGGCCCTTGTCATCGAGGTGGAGGCGAGGTGGTTTGGGCGGGGCTTGGGCAGAAGGCAAAGTTAACGCCTGCGGGCCACCGATGACTGGCAGGGAGATTGCATTCTTTAGGAGAGGGGATGGGATGTCCAGAGGCGGCGGATCATAACCCGAGACAGTCGCAGTCCTTGAGAACTCGAAGGGTACAACATAGTGGCCGGCCCCACCTGAACTCAGACTGCTCTCCGTCCTCGGCAGGAGGTGGAACTTCCCTTGCAGGAAAGAGATGTCACCAAACATGTCATTCTCCCCGCCATTCCCGATGTGGATCGTATGCCGGAAGTCACCCAGGGGCGGGCTGATCATGTCAGAAGAGAGGATATCTCGGAGTTTCTCCTTTTTCCCTCTCCGGCTTCCCCTTTTCAGGTAGATTGGCACTTTGGTGGTGGACATCTTGCCGACTGCGGGAAAGAAATCTTATAAAGGGTTCCTACTCGATGCTGGCCTGAGCCATCGGAAAACAAACGAGAATAATCAGGGTGTTAAACACTCGGCCCAGAAGATACAGAAGAGAAGGATCACAGCTGGGCCAGAGTTCGGTTTGCAAAAGGGGCTAAAAAAAAAAATTGCTGTGAGCCGTTAGTTCTGTCAATACGGCCCGTTTCCTTAGAAGATCAGCTTTCTTGAGCCCCTTTGTCAGCGACGCAGAAGGACTGCCAAAACACACGTGTTCCAGAGGGGTAGACAACATCTATCAGATGAAGGATCCCTGGCAACTCTCCACCTTTGATATTCACAACAGAGACAAGAGTACAAGGGAGAATCTTACAGGTCTTCAAAGTCTACATCTCCCAAAGAAAGAAACCGAAAGGCACCACAGGCCTTTCCTCGGCTTCCAGAATGCGGCCACCACTCTGAAATAAAAGAAAGGGGGGGGGGAGAGAATGTTAAGCATTTTGAGTTTCAGTCACAGCAAACTTTTTTTAGCTTGGTCTGAAAACTGCAAAAGCAAGTAGTTAACAAGTGATTTTCAAACAATTTCTCTATGACAGTCCTATAAGGCAGGCCTGCACTATTGTTCCTATACTGCAGATGGGTGGACAGCTAAGCCACGCAGTGAGTTTATGGCAGAGACAAGATCCTGACTCACTACTTATACCGCCGCTCAGAGCAACCCGTTCTTTTTGCCAGCAAGTCACAGCTGACTTATGGTGACCCCAAAGGGTTTTCAAAGCAAGACACTTTCAGAAGTTGTTTGCCATTGGCTGCCTCCATGTAGTGATCCTGGTATTCCTTGGTGGTCTCCCATCCAAATACTGGCCAGGGCCAACCCTGCTTATCTTCCGAGATCTGCTAGCCTGGTCTATCCAGCTCAGGGCCAGAGCACCCTTACAAAATGGCAATTGTTTTTCCAGGTAACATTGCACTCTCCTCCTCATAATCTGCAAAATGACAAATGGTAAAAGTGAGGCAAAAATTCAGCTGCCACCAAAGGGGCAAGGGAGGCATGCCGGAAGAACAATCTCAGCAGTGTTTTCTCCAGCACCAATCCGTACCAAAGAAACACAGGCTGATTCCTCTACTCTCCAGTGCAATTGTTGTCCGAACTTCTGTAGATTTACAGGCCTTCCAAATAGGACTGCTAAAGGTATTAGCCAGCAACAACCCAATCACTGGCTTGCCTGACACCACAAAATTCTGTCAATCCTCTGTAGTTTACAAGGGGGAAAAACCCTCAAAACAGATTCTGCAGATCTTCCACCTTTGTCCCCGGGAGGTGAATCTTATCCACCACTAGCAGGCTGCTATTTACAGCTTGGATCTGAATACATCAGCATTAAAGGTTTGGATTACCCAGCCCACCTGAACATATTTAAAAGGATTAGGTGGAAGGTGAGGTGAAAAAGACCTCTGCCTGCGATCCCAGAGAGCTGCTGCCAGTTAAACTGACCTTGACAAACGGATGATTTGACTCAGTACATGGCAGCTTGGTACCAATCAACAGCTTCTTCTGGGAGCACAGCTAAAAGCCTATCACATTATTGATCCTGCTTTCCCTCAACAGAGCTCAGGGCAGTGAGGATCAGATGAAGGCAATTCCACAGCAGCCCGGCAAGGTAGGTGCAGAGAGACAGAGCGGCCCCCACAGTCAACCGCTTCATGGTTGAGCATGTATCTGAACTCTGGTTATCAGTCTTTTCTGTCGTCCACACTGCTTTCAAGTATTTTGGAGGGAAGGAGAGAGTACCATGTAATAGAAACTGGACAATCAAGCCACGACCTTACTTTAGCAGACGTTACCCAAACCTGATGCCATCAAATGCCCCTCTCCGCCACTGCTTTCCATCTACAGCACCAGGTTTCTGGAAGAAACCAGCTGCCCGCTTGTGCAAGCGACCACACGCCCCATTGCACAGAACAATCTGCCACAAATTAATTCGGAAAAGAGAGAGAGTGAGAGCAAAGCGCCCTGCAGCTTATTCGAAATGGGTGGTTCCACTGCCCAGGGTTGGGCAGCTGAATAAGGCGGCCTTTGTACGGGGCTCTTGGCAGGGGTGCCGAAGCCCGAACGGCACAGATTTGGGTACTGCTGACAAAGCAGGTGTTGCAAAGCAGCCGTTGAGCGGCCCGCTAGAGCCGCACAGCAGGAAGCGAAGGATTTAGAAGGGCAAGCAGCCTCATTAGCAACAAGCACAGGTGGCTATTTTTACCAAGCAGAGCTGCGTGCGTGCTCGGGGAAGACAACAAGCAGGGACTGGAAGAAGCAAGAGGTCACAGGCACACCCCAGGTTTGCACAATGGTCATTTGTTCTGTTTTCCAGCAAAGTCTCCCATACAAAACAGCAATGCTTCAGGGTTCACTGTGCCCAGAAGCTAGTACAGTTGATGCATCAGCACCTAAAATTGCTGGCTAATGCCTTTTGCATCAGTGCCTAAAGTTTGCCCACCTTTCTCCAAAAAGGGTCAGAGGGCAGTCAGGACTTTAGCAGTTTGGCTCCGAGATTTATAGCTTGCAATGCCCACTGCCATCCAGCGTTTTTTTGCAAAAAAAGAAAAAGGGCCTCTGCACATGAGCAAACAGCCAATCCTACTTTTTTTAAAAAACAAACGCTGCTAGATGGCTGTGCAAAACCAGGATCATATTTGCAAGGTCATACCGCAAAGATCAGCACCCATAAACCACTGCCTGTTCCCTCTCACGTTTTATCCTATCAATTCTCCAGTCTTGTCTAACAAATGGACTCTACCAGGATCCTCCCAGAACTACACACAGAACTGAGAAGTCCCTGGTATCCTCTTCTTCCACTCAATTACTATACTAATCATAGGATTGATGCCCGGCTAGTCACATCTTCCTTCTCTCTTGCACTTCCTACCCCGAACCCTGCAAGGCAATGACGGCGTTCTGCCAAATGCAGGAACCTCCCAACACAGGAAAACCTCTGGACGAAATCAAGGACCATCCTGTCCCGCCTTCTCATTCTAAGAGCAGCCAGCTGAAAAGACACCGGCAGGATATGAAGGTCATGCCCACTCCCTCTCATTTGCCCCTGGCACATGGTACTTCGAGGTATGCTGCCTCTATGTATGGAGATTGCATTTAGTTGTTCTGGATAGTAACCACTGACTGAAGTATCCTTCAGTAATCTGTCAAACTAGTTTTTCAGGGCATCCAAGACTACAATCACATGTGACATCTCATGCACTGTGCAAAGAAGAGCTCTCGCGTGCATGTAATGAATCTACTGCCAATCAATGTCACTGAGTTGCTGTTGTACTGTTATGAAAGGGGGGGGGAAGTGTCCACTTTCGCCACACCATGCGTGCTTTTATAAATGCATACCATGAGAGCCAGTTTGGTATAGTGGTTAGGAGCACAGACTCTAATCTGGGAGAACCGGGTTTGATTCCCCACTCCTCCACATGCAGCTGCTGGTGTGACCTTGGGTCAGTCATGGCTCTGTCAGAGCTGTTCTCTCAAGAGCAGCTCTCGAAAGAGCTCTCTCAGCCCCACCTACCTCACAGGGTATCTGTTGTGGGGAAGGGAAAAGAGATTGTAAACTGCTCTGAGACTCCTTCAGGTAGTGAGGGGCGGGTTTACGGGGTATAAATCCAATCTCCTCCTCTTCTTCTTCCCTGCCCCTTAGTGATTTTTCCCTAAATGATTCCCCCAACACAGAGATTATGCGCCATCCCCTCGATCATTTTAGCAGCCTCTTTCTTGTACTTTATAAGCAACCCACTCCTTTAGAAAAATCCAACAGCACGATCTAAGATCAAACTTTGGGGATGCCAGATGCAAAAGAGCCCCCCCCCCCCGCATACTTACTAATCAGCCCCTGGCAGGCAATTCGGCCATTAGTATAAACACATGAACGCTCCAGAGCCGGACCAGCAGTCCATCATGTCCAGAACTCTGGCTGACAAGAGTTTTCCGAGGAATCAGAGCGCTTCCCCCAACCCTGGGAACCCAGCAAACAAGGAGAAAGCTGCCTTACATCAAGCCAGCCAAGGATTATCTGCTCTGCCAAGTCTGCAGGTCCAAGGGCTTTCTCCGAGATCATTTTATGGGAGATGCCCAGGCCTAGATCTGGGAACTTCAAAGCACACCGAGCCACGGCCTCTCCCCGAAGCCAATCAAGATAGCCAAGCAACTCTGTCTGGTTTTCTGATTAGAACTAGGTCAAATGCAGTTTGGGCTGATGGAGGAAAACACCCACAGAGTACACAGAACCAAGAGAGATATGATCACCTTCGACTAAGATATGACCGAGAGAGAGATGGCCCTGACCTCTAGGTCCAGGCTAGCTCCACCCCATCAGATCTAGGAAGCTACGCAGGGTCGGCTCTGGTTCGTACTCGAAGGGGAGACCACCAAGGAAGGTTCAAGTCCCGCTGCTTCGAATGAAGAGCATGTCCACACAAACACGCAGAAGATGAAGGGGACCAAGGAGCATCTTCCCAACCTCCTCTCATGGAAAGCCCCAAATTATACAGCACCAGAACAAGGCTGCCAACCAGTGTTCCCCCTAAGCTGAGTTAGTGTGAGCTAGCTCACAGTTTTTTAGCCTCCTGCTCACACATTTTTGTCTCAGCTCAGGACGGATGGCTCCGGAGCAAACTAATGTATGCAGTGGCCAAACCGCTTGCTCACAACTTTAATGCCAGTCGCTCACCAAGTAGAATCTTTGCTCACAAGACTCCGCAGGCCAGAGGGAGCACTGCTGCCAACTGAACAGCAAAAAGCACTTTCTTTGCTCTTGTGGCCTTATCAGTATCTTGAGGGTAAAAAAATATATCAAAAGGTGGCACTTTATAAGGCACGATTTCCTATTAATGGCTGCAGATCAAGCTACTGTGAAAGGTATTTGGAGAAGGGGGGGCAGTGAAAAAGTTGGCCACAACAAGAAAGCACAGCAACTTCGGCCATGAAGGAAAAAGAAGCTTTGCTTGTGAGCGAGGAGCCCCCTGGTCTGCAAGGATATAAGGTATGGACATGACCTGCTCCTTGGGGGGAGGTCAGGCAGGGCTGCGGAGCCAATTTCTTGCCCCAAGGGTGCACGCACACCACAAATGATGCCAGACTGCCAGCAACTGCATCACAGCAGCCTGGCCCCAAGGCAGACAGCTGCTCAAAGGGGGACTCCAGAGAGCTCTACCAGAGAGATGGGCCCAGTGAAGACAGGTACAGAAAGAGGGGACTCTAGTGTGACTGGGGTTGCCAACTCCGGGCTGGGAAATACCTGGAGATATTGGGGGTGGAGCTGGGGGAGGGAGAGGCCTCAGCAGGGTATAACTCCGTAGAGTCCATCTTCCAAAGCGGCCACTATGTCCAGGGGATCTGATCTCTGCAGTCTGGAGATCAACAGTAATCGTGGGAGATCTCCAGGTGCCAGCTGAAGGTTGGCAACCCTAAGTGTGACAGAGAGCAAAAAACAAACAAACCCCACCCTGAGAAGAAAGAGAGACACACTCCAGCCAATGTTCCCTCTAAGCTGAGTTGGTGTGAGCTAACTCACAGTTCTTTAGCCTCCGGCTCACACATTTTTTGCCTTAGCTCAGGAAGGATGGCTCCAGAGCAAACTAATTGACGCAGAAGCCAAATCACTCGCTCACAACGCTAATGCCAGTAGCTCGCAAAGTAGAATTTTTGCTCACAAGACTCCACAGCTTAGAGGGAGCACTGACTGCAGCCTGACTGACAGCCTTTCTAATCCCCATCAAGGCCAAGTATTAAAACTTTCTACTGCTGGGGAAGCAAATGAGCCCTGGGGGAAACCCTCTTCTGGAGCTCTGGCTCCACTTTCTGTGGCTCCCCTTAAGCCAAGCATATCCCACAGGCACATCTAGATGGCAAAGTTATATTGGTTCTCTACCAGTTTACTTGCCATGGCTTCCCCCCAAAGAACCCTGGGAATTGTAGTCTCACCAAAAATGCAGCATTGAAGATCACATAACTGCAGTCTTTTGGAGCTCCCTGTGAAGGGGGGGGGGGATTATCAAACCTGCTTGAGCCCACGAAAGTAGATATGCCTTTTAAAAGCTAAGTACGTGCAACTGCTTTGGTGCACATTCCTCCCGCATCAGACTCGCCTTTCCCTCCCTCCCCACTGGCAAACTCTTTGGGGCAGGGCCCTGCCATTTTGTTTATGTGGCAGAGAGTTCCATACATTGGCTGCTCTTTACAAACAACAGCAAGCAGGAAATCAGCCAGAACTGAGTGGCAACATCAAGGATTCCCAAGGGACTATTAAAGCACTTTTCAAGTCACCCGAGGACATACCTGAGGTGCCACCTGAGCTGTGGACTAATCTAGATCACAGATAAGCATCACAGTCTCCTTCCTTTAACCTAAATGCAGCTCCAGATTTGATTGGAGGAGTGAGTGACTCCTTCCATGGAGACAACTTTTCAGAGCAGAAATCCCCCTTCCCAAGCACTTTCCTGCCACTACCGGTCACGTTAGGTAAACAGAACCCCCATGTTCAGAAGCCCTCTCAGATACCAGGAATAAACAGCAGAAGGGGAAGTCTGCTGCTGTTAGGCTGGGCTTGAGAAGTTCCCAGAAACATCTGGCTGTGTCCTCTCAGAAACAGGATGCTGGAAATGGGACTTTTGGCAGATCCCACAAGACTTGTAACCTTATCTCTGGCCCACTCTAAGCCATGAGGACCCCCTATAGACCCATCTCTCTCTCTCTCTCTCTCTCACACACACACACACATATAGCAGGAAGAAAAACTCCACCTCCCTTTGCAGTCCAGGTCCTGGAGCCATGCATGCCAGCATGCGGCCCCCCTCCCCACTAGCTGTATGCCATTTATGCAAGGCACCCAGTAACGTCTTTGCCAAGTTCTCAATATCCATTTCACAAAACTCCCTTGGCCCCATCTCATCCAAAGATAGCTCTGGACAAAGAGCTAAAGTTACCAAGCAGCCCCCTGGCCAGGTATCACTGGGAGCTCAACTTTGACACAGGGCCCAGAGATTTCCACATCAATGAAACCTAAGCTATTTGATTCAGACGTAAAAGATCTGGTTATTAATGGCCAGGCAACATTAGCCAGGACAATATCGCTTTTTTGGAGGAGGGGGTAACAGGGAGGACAGAATGAAGGATGATCCCTCACAGAGGGCTTTATATAGCCTGAAAGGGGGGGGGGGGGAGACACCCAATGAGATAAATGACACCAGTTTCTAAGGTTGAGTAATCCAGAGTTTATAGTTACTCTGCCTGGAGAGCAAAGCAGCACGCCTCTATGCCACACCCAGGTTGTTAAAGTTCCAAGTTTCTAGCAGCCAGGTTCCTTTCCCCAAATAGAGAGGTGAGGAAACCCAGGCCAAGACAGATGGGGAAGGCATGTCTGGTTGCCAGATGGCCGGTTCTAGTACTCTTTTAAAAAAAAAGAAGAGAAAACCTTACAGGGATATTTTATTTTTAAAAGGGCTGCCCCAGTCTATTACACCCGCATATTGTGCTCTTGAGAGTCCCTTGGACTGCAAGAAGATCACATCAGTCAATCCTAAAAGAAATCAACCCTGACTGTTCCCTGGAAGGCCAGATAATGAAACTGAAGCTCAAATACTTTGGCCACCAAATGAGAAGGGAGCACTCACTGGAGAAGACCCTGATGCTGGGAAAGATTGAAGGTCAAAGAAGACGGGGACGGCAAAGGATGAGATGGTTAGACAGTGTCATCGATGCAACGAACACGAAGTTGAGCAAACTTCAGAGGACGGCGGAAGACCGGAAGGCCTGGAGGGAGCTGGTCCATGGGGTCGCAAAGAGTCGGACTCGACTGTGCGACTGAACAACAACAACAAATTGTGCTCCAAAAAGCTGACATCACTATTTCTAAAAGAGAGAGAGAGAGAGGTTGCCAGGGTTGCCAACTAACTAGGGGGACTGGCTGACCTGCTCTTGTGTCCTTTAAGAGCAGCTTGGTGTAGTTTTCCATATCAAGGAGGCACAGAAAAGGGCAACCAAACTGATCAATTTCCTGCAGATGAAGCCTAAATGCACCAGGGGGCTTCTTAGTTTAGAAGAGGAGAAACCCCAAACTATGTGGATGGGGTGATAAAAGGTTGATGCAGTTATGGAGAGAGTAGATGGACAGTCAGTTTTATCCCACTCTCAAAAACATCAGAGCTTAGGGTCAACCCAGTGAAATTGCCGGGGCAGTGCTTTCAGAAAGGACAAAATGGAACTCTCTCCCACAAAGTGCAGTGATGACCACTTTTTTTAGAAGGCGAAGAACACCTCTCTGGGGGACACCTCCGTCAAAAGCCACTTGCGAGGAGAGCTGGATGGAGCTTCCACCTACAGAGGCAGTGCACCACCAAATAACAGCTGGAAGGCACCGCAAGGAGAGGAGGAGCCTTCATGTCGCTGCTTGCAGGCGCCCAGGAAGCAGGAAACAGCCCGGTATGGGACACAGAATACTGGACTAGATCGACCTTTGATATGATGTGGCAGTTCTTAAGTCTGCAGATAAATCTGTTAAAGGCAGGGAAGCAGACAGGGCTGGTTTAAACGACAGCAAAGCAGGGACTGAACTTGCCTGCTCCGTCATACTCTCCGAATCCCCCCAGAGGCGCGCAAAAGGGCCGTCGGGAAGGACTGGGGGTGACCAAACACTCCCTCTCAAGCGAACTGTCATTTTACCAGTCTGTGTCGAAGGGCTGAGCCCCGGCAGGAAAACAGATTTCTGTGCCAAGCTTCAGGTCAGCTTTAGCTCTGCGTAATTCCCCAGTGTCCCTCCCCCCACATCACCCGGCGCCTTTTTAATTAATCTAGAAAACCTTAAAAGTACAAACGTCGAGCACGGAAGACGTAAAGGGGGAAAGACTTAAGGCTCGGAGGCCGAGTCAAGAACCAGCAGCAAACCCCCACCATCACCGGGCGCTCCTTTCTCTTCTACTTTTCACACGCTCTTACAGTGGAGAGAGTAGGAAAGCCATTAGGCTTTACGGGAAGAGCCCGCAACTCTTGGAAAAAAGCCTCTGAACATGTACAGAGTTCCCGCAAAACAGCAATTCCCCTGCGGGGGTTAAAAAAAAAAGTATTTCACAGCGTGGGCCATTACAAAGAGGAAGGGGCGCAGGAGCCCCGACCCCTCTTGGCCAGCCGGCCCTTCTCCTGGACCCCTCGGCTCCTGGAAGCAATTTCTACCTCACTCACCCGGGTCCCGCGTCCCACCTCAGCGGCTGCAGCGAGTCTCTTTCCTGCGGCAACTGCGAGCCAAATTGAGGCGTGCGCTGGTCAGCCACTGGCCAGCTCCGCCTACAGACCCGCCTCTCCGGTCTTCAACCAATTGGAAGGGGCTATGAAGTGACTCGTCCTCCTCGAAAGCCCCGCCCCTTTCCCTGTCAGGGAACGAAATCTTTGCAAATTCTGAAGTTGTGTGGAAAGATTTGCTTGAAGCAAAGGTTCTCTGCGCATAGGCGAAGGGCTTTTGTTTTTGTTACACTGCAAGACGCGCAGAAGCTCAACGGTATATATTTATTTATGAGTTGAACTATTTATACCTCCGCTTTCCCCCTTGGCTCTGGGCAGTTTACAAATCCTAATTTGAAGCATAAAGCCCCGCTGCCTAGGTAAACTGCTTCTTTTTGCGTGGCTGTAAATCAAGCCAGATTTATAGCTGCACGGGCTTCCAATTCAGAGTGGTCTTTTTCACACTGTAAAGCCCTGAATGTTTTGGGTTGCAGGATATCTTCAGCACGGGACCTTCTTCTGTGTGCCTGAAATACCTGGGACGGGTATGTCACAAGGACTCTGAGTTTGTGGAGTTTCTGCCTTCCTTTAAGTACGCCTCTGCCTTCCCTGCTGGAATTTCAGCATCAGCCAAACGTGGGCCCTCTCCCTTAGGCCTCTCTTTGTGCTTCAGCATATAACTGATTGATTGTGGAGCCTTTTCTGGCAATTATTGTTTTTATTTTATTTTTTGTTGTTGTGTCACCTCTTCCTTTTTTTTTTTACTTCTGCTGTAGGTTTTATTGGTTTTGTGTTTGGTGGTGGAAAGTGCTGTCAAGTTGCAGCTGTCTTATGGTGACCCCCATGGTGTTTTCAAGGCAACAGATGTTCAGAGGTGGCTTGCCATTGCCTGCCTCTGCATCGCAATCCTGGTGTTCCTGGAAGGTCTCCCATCCAAATACTGGCCAGGGCCGACCCTGCTTAGCTCCTGAGATCTGACGAGATCGGGCTAGCCTGAGCTATCCAGGTCAGGGCAGATTCTGTTTTTGAAATTTGTAATAAGAAATAGCGACCCAAAGGGTATTCAAAGGGTATCACAATACAAGAACTCGTGGGCACTCCATGAAATTGCTGAGCGGTCGGGTTAGAACGGATAAAAGGAAGTACTTCTTCACCCAAAGAGTGATTAACACTTGGAATTCACTGCCACAGGAAGTGGTGACAGCTACAAGCATGGACGGCTTCAAAAGGGAATTAGATAAGCATATGGAGCAGAGGTCCATCAGTGGCTATTAGCCACAAGCAATGTTCCCTCTAAGCTTTGGATTTTTGTGTGCAAAAATTCCACTTTGTGAGCTACTGGCATTAAAGTTGTGAGCAGGCGATTTGTCTGCTGCATAAATTAGCTTGCTCTGGAGCCCTCCTTCCTGAGCTAAGGCAAAAATGTGTGAGCCAGAGGCTGAAAAACTGTGAGCTAGCTCACGCTAACTCAGCTTAGAGGGAACACTGGCCACAAGGTATAGATAGGGACTCTGGGGCAAGTGATGCTCTGTCTTCTTGGTGCTTGGGGGGGGTCAACAGTGGGAGGGCTCCTGATGTCCTGGCCCCACTGGTGGACCTCCTGATGGCACCTGGTATTTCTGGCCACTGTGTGAAACAGAGTGTTGGGCTGGATGGGCCTTTGGCCTGATCCAACATTGGCGTCTCTTATGTTCTTATTCTGAGCATGTAGATAGTTGTATTTCCCTATATATACCACTACTAAGTAACCACAGCCAGGCCCCAAATTTATGACTCAGGGATTTCAGATTGAAGAGTTTCATGTAAGCCCCAGTGCCTCTCTTTTTAAGAAAATAATGATTGCTTTTGTAATAACACACCTTGTCAGATACACCACCACAAACACCAAATGCCCAACTAGGTAAAAGAAAGGTATAAAGGTAAAAGTTTCCATTGCTTGAAAGCCGGTCAAATCCAACTGTAGGGAGCAGTGCTCATCTCCGTTTCCAAGCCGAAGAGCCAGCGCTGTCCGAAAACTTCTCCCTGGTCATGCGGCCGGCATGACTAAATGCCGAAGCGCACAGAACACTGTTACCTTCCCACCAAAGCAGTACTTATTTATCTACTTGCAATTTCTTGCTTTCGAACTGCTAGGTTGGCAGGAGCTGGGGCCAGAGAAGGGAGCTCACTCTGTCACGCGGCACTAGGGTCTCGAACTGCCAGGCTACCAACCTTCTGGTCTGCAACTCAGCATCTTAACCTCTGAGCCACCACGGCCACAGGAAAGGTATACCTACTTCCAAAAATGTGTTCACAAATAATAAGATTTCTAAAAGGTTTTGTTTCATACCTCCCACAAACACACACACTATATATATTGAAAACTTAGTTATCCTTGCTCCTTTTTTCCAGGCATGTGATCCTTTTTGAATGCGTGTGTGTGAAAGACCAGATTCTTTACTGTGCTATTATCCACTTAAGTCCTAATGTTACAAAGCCAAGAGAATGCTTAGTTCAGAAATGGGAAATCCACATTCAAATCCCCACAGCTGTGAATCTCACTGGGTGGCCTTTGGGGGGCAATCTACCATCCCTCAGCCAGACCACCCTCACAGGGCTGTTGTGAGGCCAAAAGGCAATTAAGAGATGTACTATAATCCCCCAGGATACAGGGTAGAGAAGATAGCTTAATAAATAACAGTTGTGGTTTGCCTGTTACCAACTTTTTGCTTTCATTTAAAAGTACTTTTTAAAGATTACTTTCAAGTTAAAAATAGAAGGGGGGAAAGTAACAGAGACAAACCAGGAAGTCCTCAGTTCAAATCTCAGTTTGGCCTTGGACTCATTGAGTAGCCTTAGGTAAATTGCCTTCTCTTGGTGTCAGCCTCCAATCTGCAATATAGGAAAGAGAATACAGGCCTTACAGGAGAACTGTAAAGATTATGAGATAGTGTGTGCACTTGGAATGCTCAAAACCACTACACAGATGCTAACTGATTATTTTTGGATATCAAATATATCTCACAGAATCTGTTGCTGTAGCATTACATTCATGTACAAAGCCCAGTTTCCCACTTGAGGCATCCTATACAATTTTGGTCACCGTCTCCATATCAACAGTGCTTTTCCTTGGCAGCCAGAATAGCCCAGTTTAGCCTGAACTCAGAGCTTTGAAGCTAAACAGGCTCGGCCATGGAACGGGAGACCACAGAGGAAGACTGGCATTGCTATGTGGAGGAAAGTAACCGCAAACCACCTCCGCTCATCCCTCACCTTCCACACTTTGTGGATGGGGGGTCACCATATGTTGGTTGTGATTTGATGGCATGTCATTCATTCATTCATTCATAACCATTTCCTTAGCCACTCAGTGGCCAGACCCACTATATCTGTCTTTCCGATTGTAGCACAATCAGCTGCATGTCAAGCAGAAATTCAGCAGGTGTAATGTTTCCTATCCCTGCATCATTACTATCCCTGTTGAAAATATTACTGTCCTTGTTTCTTATCCAGCAGCTAAAAGCATAAGAGCTTGGCCAGGGAAAAATATGTGGCAGCTTTTATGTGTTGCCGTTTAAAGGCTGCCTGTCCCTGGGCAGAATCAGATTCCTGTGACTGGATGGCCCAGGCTAGCCTGATCTTATCAGATCTCAGAAGATAAGCAGGGTTGGCTCTGGTTAGTACTTGGATGGGAGACCAACAAGGAAGTCCAGGGTTGCTAGATAGAGGCAGGCAATGGCAAACCATCTCTGCTTGTCTCTTGCCTTGAAAACTCCATGAGGGGTTGCTTTAAATGAGCTGTGACTTGATGGCACTTTCCACCGCTGCCACCATCCCAAGAGCTCCAGTCAAAGAATTTGCGGGGGGGGGGGGGGGGGGTTTCAGACTAGGTTCCTCTGCTGCTGTCTAATTCCAACTTTTAATTTCTCACAGTG